GTATTATAAATAAAAGTCATTTCATTGCAATTAATACAATGTTTGTTATAGGGCTTTGAATAAAGTAGTTGTCAATAATATTTGAATCTTAGGAAGTCTACAAATAAAGTAAAAAAGAGAGGTTCATATGCATGTAATTGTGTATGCTTCTATGCATTGCAGGCAAATTGTCATAATGTTAATTGCACAAAAATTTCCTAATTCACAAATTCAAATTTACTGCTTGTCAATTAGGTGGGCCAAATTACTTGAAATTTAGAAATCTAAGTAGAGTGATATTTGATAACCAATGGGTGAATTATAAAGAGCAAATCCCTTAAATTTATCCCAATTCCATTTAGTATCTTTTCTAACTTTTACAAGTAAAATAGTAATTTATGACTTGAGAAATTGGGATTCAGTAATCTTCTAAGGGGATGGATTGGTTGGATTGATAGGTTTCCAAATGGTGCTTAAGTGGTACTATGAGAAGCAATCTGCTATTGGCCTAAACCATGCTTGAGGTTATAAGTTGGACCGACGATTTTCGTGTTAAAACATGTTTCATCCAAAAATTTGATTGGTGCTAGTTGACTTATCACTCATTATTCAAGCTTCCACGAGGCTTATTGCAAGGGGGCTCTAGGGTCATCACCCTAAAGTCAAGGTGTCAATATTCTAGTTGGCAACATCAACTAGTACTCTATGAAGAACTAATTGGTGGATAAGGCCGGATGGCTATGAATAAAATGCAGTTGCTTGTAAGGTGTGATTTTCTAACCTCATTCTTCAAATAGGGTGGTTAGAGGGGTTTCCTTTATAGAAAAAAAAAAGGTATGCTAGAGTTGTTTGGTCGACTCTCCCCCTTGTTACGAGAGGCGAGTACATGAAGGAACACCAAGTGAATAGCTTGGTCAAGGTCAAGGAATGGCAAGGAAATGCACTCTGATAGCAAAGAGCATGAGGTGAATAAAAGTTTTACTTGTTGATGAAGTTTTAGGATATCCAAGAACATGGAGCATTTGTCTCTCAACTCTTCTTTAATGTTATCGATAAATTTCATAGTGAGAATGTCACTAATAACTCCTTGTTCCAGGACGAGAAACATTGAGCGTATGAGAGAAGGTCTAAAGATTCTCAGGCTTTTTAACTCCTTATGTTTTCTTGAATGGAGGATGTTTTAAGGACGAACTAGATTTTTTCAACTCTCGAGTAATCTACCAATTGATTCTAGGGTTGCTCTTTAGCATACTAATCCAATGATTTCTAACCTCTCGGCTCCTCACCATAGAAGGGTTTTTGTGGGTCTTTAACTCATTCGAAGGAATCATTTTTCTAACCTCTTAATAAGAGCAAAGGGAAGGATATTTATAACCTCAGCCTAAGGCTTGAACGAGGAGTTGGATCTAGGTTGACAGTAGGTGGTAGCTTGCTTAAGAAGATTTATAGGGTTGAGCACTTTGTAAGAAATCTTCCCGAAAAGGATGTGATCCCATAAACCAACACGATCTAGCATGATTCTTTTTTGGTTTTTTTTTTTCAGGGATACTAGTATAGTTTGTTACCCAAGTGCCTTACAAAATGGCTAAAACACAAATATGTAGTTATTTACTCTTAGACACTTAAGGCGGGTTAGGGTTGACCTTGGTTTATCCTGGACATTGACTTTTAGGCACCTAACGTGGGAAAGGATGGGATGTCATCATATAATGCTATTTGGTAGGGTTCTTTTATTATCAGAAAATAGGCCAAGTTTAGTCCCAATGAGCATAATGGAAAGGCCAAAGCATGAATACCTAGACATTTACTCTATGACACCTAAGGTGCAAGAAGGGACAACCTCCTTAGGGAGGTTGCAATTGCCGAGTAGGCGCTAGCTTTCAAGATGAACTCATTAAGATGAGCGTCGAGAAGGGAGGAAGTCATCTAAGGATAACCAAAAATGGTGATTTTGAAATAAACCACCAAGGCACTAATTTCTTGGGAGGTACAGAGAGCGACATTGCTCTTAGGGAAGCTATCAAGAGAGATTTGATATTTTGGGAGGCATTGTCGAGATGCTAGTTTCTTGGGAAAGTCACTAGAAAGGTGTCGAGTGTGATATTGCTATTGGGGGAAGTTGTCAAGAAGAGCAAATTCTCAAGGATAGCGATCGGCCAATGGCCGACAAGCATTGGATGCTAAATTGAGGCGCTCCCAAGACAAATGGTTGAGACGTTAGTTTTTCATGATAATTCAACACTTTATCTAAAGGTCAATGAGAGGAAGATGGCTCTTGGGAGACAGGAAACTTCCTAGGGAGGGTGATTAGCGATGATTGATAGAGGAGAGGCCACCTACACCGAAAGAGTGGTTTGGGCACTAATTTCTTGGAGCAAGTTACTAAGACGGATGTTAAAAAGGGAAATCAAGGGTAAAAAAGGATTAGTTTGGGAAGAGTCAACTAGAGTCATTATAGTTTATTGAGATGGATTACAACAAGACTCTTGGCCATCTAAACTGAGGTTTGAGAAAAAAGGTTTTGTTCTTAGGATGGTCTTATAGATTTTGTTCTCAGGATGGATATGACAAACTACTAGTCCCACTAAATGTGCAAGACTTAGTATTGAACGGAGGAGCCAAAGAATGAATTTAAGTCAGGAGACCTTGCTGTGCCAAAAGAGATGTCCTTATATGGATTTCAATATGGAACACGCTTTAATACGGGAGTTTGAGTAAGGTGCAACCAATTAGGATTGAGAGACATGGCCATTTAGTTTGTCGAGGGCATAACTCTAGCATGCTAGGTTGAAGTTCAACTATCCCAAAATGGATGCGAACGTTGAGCTTGTCCTAACTCCTTATGCAGTAGATATATTTGAGCAAATATGAGTGAGTTTGATGGGGACATCAGATCATGGAAAGTATATCAGAGACGTGGCCGACGATCTACGACCACGATCACGCCAATCTATTTTTGAGTCTTCATATGTATTTGTTTTATTTATTTACTTTATGTATTTGTTTTAATAGCATTTCCCGTTTTACCCTTACTTAAGGGTTATCATATGTAAGCCCTAGGGGCAATTTCGTCTTTTATTTCCCTTTCATTGTATGAGGCTATATATAGGCCTCTTATGTTTCTTTTGAAGTTAATGAATGAATTATAATCAAATTCCTACAAATTGCGTTCTTGTGAGAGCTTGAGAGTCGTTGGAGAGAAAACCTTAGGAAAAGGAAGCGGATAACCCACCAACCTTGGAAGAGTCCGTCGTGGCTTTCTTTTATTGTGTATCCTTTCTTTCCTCCCTTCCCTTTCCCCTAGCCGTTGGCCTAGGGTTTCCCAACCCCAAACCCGCCGGCCTCCACTTCAAAACCAAGCTCTAACGCCGGCCAATACCCTTCACCCCACCCCACCTAGCCACCGGCCATCCAACTATCCAAGGTGGTTCATCCCTTGATTGGTTGATCCACTTAATTCCCCCCACTTCCACCTAACCCTAACCTTAGCCCTAGTACAAGCCGCAGGCCCCCACCCTTTCCAATTCCCCTTTGCCTCCATATCCAAGCCCTCTTCATTACTTTCCTTTTCCACCAAACCTTCTTTGGAAAGTCTTAATTTCAATTATTCAATTAAATTTGAATTTTGAAATCTTTCCATAATTAGAATTCTATTTTAGGAAAGTTTCCAAAAGCAATCATATTTGAATTTTAAATTAGATTGGAATGAGATCCCTCCATAATTTAATATTCCTAATCAAGTAGGCTTGATTTCTTTCCTAAAACTCCTCTTCCCCTCTTGATGCCGCCGGCCCCATACTTGTCCCCACCCCTTAAATGCTTTCCAAAGTTAAGCCTCTTACTTGGGAAAGATTTCAAACATCTCCCTCTCTCTTACCCGCCCCCTCCCTCTCTCTAATTTCCCTTTAAATCCTTTCCAAACTTAAAGGATTAATTATGGAAATAATTTCCCAATTTCCCTCCATCCTCCTTCCTTAAAATCTGAATCAAATTCTGCCCAAGATCCCTACTTTGGCCGGCCACCCTTTCACCCCTTCCCCTACTTGGATTCCTTGGAGAAACTTCTTTCTCTCAAGGGGAATCCACAAGGACAGCAAAGGGACGTCTTCTACAACACTTCAACACTACAAAATCGATGCATGGTTGATCCTGAACTCGACTCCGACTTCGTCTACAACAAACAAGGTTTCGTCAACATCCTCATATCATCTTTTTTAGATATTAATCTGGAGGTAGATAATTTCGTCGAGGAATACTTGGAGCGAATCATATTCACTCTATTGAAAGTCATCGGAGAACAGCTTTCCACCGTTCAGTGGCAAATCACCGTCGTGCTTCGACAAGGGTGAGCTTTTTCCCCCTCTTCAATTTCCTTCATGATCTTCTTCGTTTGTAGGTTGTGAATCAAGCATAAGGCATCGTGCAATACTATTTTCCAAAGCTTAGTAAACATAGAGAATAATTTATGACTTCCTATGCATGTAATCTCATTATTAATCTAGGGATGTTATTGAAAATCTCTTAAATTTGGTTATGTTGAAGTTCTAATTGTTTTGTGATCCTAACTATTATCGTGTGATTTGGCCTAAGCGGAGGCATCGCTCTCTTGTTTTCTATTGTCACTAAGTGGCTAACGTTTTAATTCTCATTGCTCTTGCTTAAAAATGTGCAAATTCTTATATTAATCATTTAAAGCATACATAGTTCTACATCAGAGTTGGACATTTTAATGGTGCATTTTCAAAAAATTCTCTTATTGAACATGTTCTAACGCAGTGCAAAAATTTATGGAAGAAAGCACCTGAGTTGGACAGTTGGTGTATTCTGCTCTTTGTTTATTTGTTAGTTTACTGGAAAAAACTCCAATCCACTTCTTATTTTCAATGCTCGGATAATGTATCGAGCAACATTAATTTTTTAAATGCACTAGCACAACCTTTACATTGAACTCATACCCATCAAGTTTTAGTTGATGAATATTATACCTTATTAATATTCTATTTGATTATTTGCTCTATTAGGTATGCATATCCATGGTGGAGAGAGAAAGAGATTGATTCTGTAGCCAAGAGATTGCAAGGCTTATGTCCCCTTACGCCAGAGGAAACTTCACTAGTTCTACAAGCTTTGGGATTCAATAATAGTACTCAAATCTATGTTGCTTCGGGTGAGATATATGGCAGCGACCATCGGCTTACAGATTTACGTGCGGCATTTCCTCGACTGGTAAGCTACCTGCTTAACAGATGAAATGAATTGCATGATGAGCTCTTCACTTTCAGCAATTGACATAAAATGCTCGATGGTTGGCTCCTTGATTTTTTTCCTCTTGGTTATGTTTTACATGTTTCCTCGGTTTTTTTTCCTTTTGTTATTAAAATCCTAGTTAATGGTTTACATGCCTCAATTTTTTTCCAGATTTAAGCAAGATTTAGCTGCTAAATCAAATATGAGGAATTTTAATTTCTATTATTTTGGTAAATTCCTTTAAACCCTCATATTGGTTGACTCAATAATTCTTTAAATATAACCATTGATAAGATTTAAGGGATTTAGGGATTTCTCTATTTACATAACTTTTATCTTGAAATAAATAGCCAAGCAATTTAGTACAGTTTAGTAAAATTTAACAGGTCTCATGTAAAATAATTTTCAAGTTTCAATGCTCTCAAGATTTATTAAACTGGATTTACTAGACCGAGTTAAATCCTACTTATAGTCAAACATAGCCTTTGAGTTGGAATGTTTGAACAACACGTCGCTGCTACCAATTAATTGAGATGATTTGAGATGTGAAAATATACTGCTGTTTTAGTTTCTTCGCTGATTTGCTCCATGCTTGATATTTGTGTACCTTGTTTTTAAATTTTAATGCTATTCATACATTTTCCTATTTTCAGGTGAGAAAGGAAATGCTTCTTGACCCTGAAGATCTGCGTCAATATCAGAACCATTCTTCTCAAATGGCTGCATTGGATTACCTGGTTTCAATATCTAGTGATATTTTTATTCCTACTTATGATGGAAACATGGCTAAAGTTGTAGAAGGTCATCGCAGGTTTGCAAATTTCTATAATCATGTTCATACCTTAGCTGCTGCATAGCCTTACATGATGAATACTGCAGTGCTGATTTTTTTTTTTTATTGGGTGATATTGACAGATATCTTGGCTTCAGGAAAAGTATTGTATTGGATAGAAGAAAGGTAGTAGAATTACTTGACCTGTATGCCAATAAAACACTTTCTTGGTCTGAATTTACTAGTACTGTTCAAGAGATCCATAAGAACAGGATTGGACAGCCAAGCTGCAGAAAGGTGTTGATTAACAAACCAAAGGAGGAAGATTACTTCTATGCTAACCCATATGAATGCCTTAGTAATTCGACCGAATGCGAGGAACCATCCAATTCTTCAGATACTCTAAGATGAGTCAGTTCGGACGAAACCGTATGATAATTTCAAGCCCCACTGCAGCTCTGTTGAAATACAGACCAATATTTTTACTGCCTTGGGATCCGGTCGTCGGAAATTTCAACCATTTTTCATATTCTTTTTGTTCTTTAGTTTATATTAGTCTGTGATTTCATATGAAGGCTGAAGAATGCAGTTCTGTGGAGTTTTGCGACTGTGCAAAGTTCTGGAGTTGGTTGGAATGATTTTGCTCGCAGAAGATTGAGGATGGAAGAACAATCTGCAGCCATAAGGTTTACACCTACCTCTATTGATAATGTTTCTTTCATAATGTAAATTTTTCATGATTTTCAGTGATTTTCCCCTCTTGATTGCATGAGGATTGCTGCAAAAACCACAGTTTAGAAATTTTCAATTCAGAAGTTGAGTAATTTTGCATTTAGTTTGTATGCTTGAGAAAACCTTGGCTTTTCTGTAGGAGTCCATATCACATTATTCATGCACAAAACCATTCTTTTGAAAAATTTCAAGAAAATTTATATGTGGCCTATAGCTTCTGTCAAATCACGTTAACAACTGCTTTGTCTGCGTGACGTAAAATCAACTTTATAATCATATAACTGAGTATTAAAATTTACAGCTTGGATGCTTAGACCATCATCTGATTCATTTCATCGCATGCAAGAAAAAATATAATTCAATTTCCTCACTCAAATCTATATGAAAATTATATGTGACAATCTTTATTTGCTGAGTAATTATATGACAGATTATGAAGAATAATTGTGTTGACTTTGAATATATTAAGAGTTCTCTTTCTTTAGGCAATATATAAAGATAAAATATTTAAAAAGAGTGTGCCTAATGGCAAATACATTCTTAAGCAATAATAGGAGCATCATGACATCTTCATCAATTTAAATAGAAGAAAAGCACCCACTTATTGAGGGAGTTCTTTAAGATGATTTTGTTTTTTATTTATTTATTTAAATTTTCTTAGCCGTTAATCCTTTTTGAGATTTGCTTTACTCTTTTATTTCTTAGTTATATAACATTCATGTTTTTGTAAGGTGCTAAGCAATATTTATACTAGTAATTTAAATTTAATTTCTTTATAGTTAATAAAAATTAAGTTAATCAAAAATAGGATTAGGCACTAATATTTTTTAATGTAAAATTTGCTAAAAAATTTCATTATTATTTTTATATCAGATTGTTAAGTATAGACAACCGCAAAAATCTCATGCTTATAATATTTGATAACCAACTAAGACTTAATTTGGGTTGTCTTTCTTACTACTTATAGCTGCTTTTTAGTATACAAATTTTAAATTTTAAACAAAAAAGTTGTTTGAAGAAATAATAAAAAGACATCCCAAACGAAGCCAAAATCTCGTGGATAATATGAATGCAACCAAATGAAAAGAGCCGTGCATTATGATGCTAAATGATAGTTCAAAACTGTCATAAAAAATTTAAGTGGGGCAAAACTCTGACAAAAAATAATAACAAATCTATATAAGATCATCTCCAACTGAACGCAATGTTTGTCATTTGTGAGCTATTCCACCTCACAATGAAACCTGCACTATTCTTGCGATGCTAATATTAATGTTGTGTTGTTAACAAATGTCATTTATTTTGTTGGAGAATGAATATATCTAGCATATTCTTTTTTGATGTTATAAAGTAGAACTCAATTGGAGGCAAGTGACTGCATTAAATTGAAAAATAAGTTTTTCAGTTGGAGATGCCCTAAAGCTGTCAACAAATCTATCAATGATGCTATGCAAAGTTGCCAATACATTAGTAACAACTATAAAAAATAAAAAAATAAAAAAATTTGTTTGTCAATGGAAAGCTTAAGAATAATTAATACAGGTACCTTTTAAGAGTTCTGTTTTTTTTTTGGGGGGGGATTTTTTAAGAGTTCTGTCCTATATACATTTTGCAATCCACGTGTGAAAATATCAAGGATTTACCCAAAAAAAAAAAGAAAATATCAAGGAAAAAAGTAAGAGAGAGAGAGAGAGAGCAAAGCTGCCTAACCTCTTTGTTCTATTCATTGCCGGCCAAACTGGTTCAAGCCTCTTTAATGATCAGGCTGTCAATTTACCCACTTGTAGTTCAGACGCCAAAAATTAAAGATTATTAAAATAAAAAAGTGATAATGCTTAGATATAATCCTTAGGCCTCAGCTGAGCTTTTAAAGAGCTAGGCGCCGTTTGAGGTTATTTTTATTTTCTATTATTATTATTTTTAATATTATAAAGAAAAATATATTATTTTTTATTTATATTGAATATCAAATTTTTATATTTTTTTATGATCATGATAATTGTTGATGGTGCAACATAACAAAAGCGGTGGTTGATATTATTTATGATAATTATTTTTAAAATACTTAAATATCTCTAGATTATTTTGAATATTTTTAAAATAAAAAATAATTCAAAAATATACTAAATAATATCTTAATACGTTAATGTGGATAATTATATACTTCTTAGCTTTGATGCATAGTACTAACGTAGTTACTATACTATCGGTTATTTAAAGCGAAGGGGCGAACGGCGGGGGAACAGTCACTGCGGTCTTCCGGCGCTCGATAATCCATGCCGAGAGGCGAGAGCAAGCCACCGCACGTGCGACTTTTATTTTAGGGCCGGCGCGAGATGCAAGCTTGAACCATCACGTAGCCCGCACAGATAATAATTTGCAACCATCCAGATCTACCGTCGATGAATAAAAGCAACTAATTTGACCTGTCATCAATGGCGATAGCTTGCTAGCGCATACAAAAAATTTATGCAAATAATTTTTCCCCAGATCAAGAAGGACACCTAGGAAAGCTGTCCTCCACACGTCCTAATGCTACGTGCCATCGAGCGCATGGAGGTCAGCGTGGGGGAGCCCGCACGATAGCTTCCGTCCCAAATTATTCGGAGAATGGAAACGAACATTCCGTTTAATCTCGGCCTCAGCTCCCATTAGCGCACATACTTGCTTCACCGCCCCTTCTAGTTGATGGCGCCTGCGAACCCTAATTCGGCTCGGCCGCCACCCAAGAAAACGGACGGAAAACCCTAAAATAAGCTGAACAATCTCAACCTTGAAGATTCTGTAAGTCTACTTTCCGTTCTCCTTATCACGTTAATTTGAAATAACTCAATATCTTTAATAATACATGGCAAATTTTCTGCGATTTTCAAGTTCCTGAATTATTTAGTTCATTTATAGGGGAAACCTAACCTTAAAAATTTATGTTATTTGTGGCACAAGGTAGGAGCGATAATTTCTCCCTTTCTGGTTTGGATTGGCTTTGTTGGCTTGGAGATTGTTTTATTTTTATGGCGCTAGGCCAATAAGGGGTTAATTGTTTATTCATCAGGAGCTTGGGGGTCTGTAATCGCTGGAATCTATAAAATATTGATACCTTATTCACGCGAAAAATGGTGGAGGAAGGCAAGACGAGTAACGGGCTCTCGTCTGGGCTGGCCTCTATATTGTTGGATGGTAATCAAAAGGAAGTTCCGCAGAGGTCTCATCTTGTCTCGTATTTTGATGATCTTGGGAATCAGTCTGTGGAACGGACTATTGAATACATACTGGATCTTCCTCACAAGTCCATTCGTCCAACTTCTGGATTAGTTGATGTTGGTTTCATTCGCACTCTACTCAGCAAGCGATTACTGGGATTGGGAGTAGGCAGGAACATGGATTTTATTTACAGGGATGGGATTTTTATTTTTGACTGTGGTTTTGGTTCTAATACTGTTGCTATAGATAGGGCAAGTGTCTGTGGGGAAATTAGAAATATCAGGAAGCCTTTACTTATTGAAAGTTTAGCAGTATTCAGCAGCGCTCGAGCCAATGCATGTGTGTGGAAGGGGAAGTGGATGTATGAAGTCACATTGGAAACTTCCGGAGTTCAACAACTTGGATGGGCCACTGTTTCCTGTCCCTTCACTGATCGCAAAGGAGTTGGAGATGCTGAAGATTCATATGCTTTTGATGGAAGGAGGGTTACCAAATGGAACAAGTACTCAAAAGCATATGGTCAGTCATGGGTTGTTGGCGATGTGATAGGGTGCTGCATTGACTTGAACAAAGATATGATTTCCTTCTACAGGAACGGAGCGCCTTTAGGGGTGGCTTTTGATGGGATCCGGAAAATGGGGCCTACGATTGGTTATTACCCAGCTTTTTCTCTTTCGGAAGGTGAAAGTTGCGAGTTGAACTTCGGTTCCCGGCCGTTTAAGTACCCTGTTGATGGCTTTCATCCCATTCAGGCTCCACCAAGTTCTGGAACTGCTTCACTTTATTTGCTTCAATGCTTATCTAGGTTATTGGAGGTGCAGCGTATGGATAAATCTAATTCAGCATATTTTGAGAAACTGAGAAGATTGAAGAGGTTTGCTCCTCTTGAAGAGCTATATTTCCCGATCTCCCATGGCATTTGCGAGGAACTCTTTGCTATGATTCACCTGAATCACAGTTGCAGCGAATATATTTCATGGGCTGCACTTTTGCCTTTCATGTTAGAAGTATTTGGATCTCAGGGGCCTCATGATTATGCTTGCTTGGATCAGATTATTGGACTATTCTTTGAGTTTCATGGACATCTTTCATTATTTCAGCATCTCATCATGGCTCTTTCCTTCAACTGCAAGACTGCCCAACTTGTTCTAGTGGATTGTCCTTATTCTGGATCCTACCCTTACTTAGCTTTGGCTTGCCATATGCTCAAGCGTGAGGACATGATGAATTTGTGGTGGCAGTCACCTGATTTTGAATCATCATTGGAAGGCTTTTTGTCAATAAAGAGTCCAAACAAGCAGGATCTTTATTTATTGATACCATCTGTATGGTGGCCTGGGTCATCAGATGATATTGGTTCTGAAAGTAGTATGATTCTGACAGCAACAGCATTGTCTGGAGCAGTTAGCAAGGTATGCTAGTATAGGAGTGTTGCTCTTATTTTTGCTAACTATTCTTTTTTTTATATATATAACTATTCTATTGTTTTTACAATGCTTTTATTGCTGAACTTTTTATGTAAATTGATCCTGTCAGATCTATAGGTCATCTCATCATCAGTTCAACTATTGTTGCATGTTGCCTTACTCAAAATAATTTTATTAGTACAGTTAAAATAAGAATAACATTTTTTTAAAATTATAATTAAATATATACAAATGAGGTTGTCCTCATAAAAAGAGCTGCTTACGTACCTTCAATGAAGGATTAAACTCACATACATTAAAAAAAGAAAAATACAAAATAAAGAACAAATTAAAGAACCATCCAAAGAAAACAGATCCACTCTGAAATGTAGAATTAACAAAAGATGTTAAAATCACAAATGAAAATATATAGCAGGCAACTGATTGATTAGTAAAAGAGAAGCACCAAAATGTCTCATCCAAGGAAATAAATATGAATAGATTCGTGGCAAATTGTAATGCATTGCTATCAATGGCTCCGATATTTGAAAAGAGAAATTAATACCTCCAAATTGATGGAGGTACCAAGACGAACAACCATAGTTTGAATCTTTAAAACAAATTAAAAAGAATAAATCATACTAGAAAGCAATTTCCAATATGTGATATTACTCTCCAACAATCCATAAATCAAACCATCTTATGAAACATCTATCGTTTCCTAAAATCTAAAACAAAACATAGCATACAAGCAGAATAGATATAACCCTAAAATAAATAACATTGAATGCCAAAATCAAAACACAATAATGAATTGATCAAGAATCAATGACATATAGAATTGTATTACAAGCACCCAGAGGAAATAAAGGGCTTAGCCAAAGAACTATTGATAAGCACTGCTAACCACAATCGCCATACTTAGGATAAATTTTGCTTAAAATTTGAAAAAAGATAGATCCGAATATCATAAAAAACTCTAGATAATTAGACCATGGAAATCGATGTCTTACCTCAATTTAAATGTCATCACACAATCATAAATATTGATTATTACATCATTACCCCGATTACGCCATAATATGCAGCATTAAGAAGTAATAATCACATAGCTCAACAACTCTGCACGAAAACATAGATAGAAGCTTATGAAAGAAAGGAAAATATTCAAAAGAATTGAGGGATCAGAAGAACAACAAAAATCCACAAAATCAATCAACATGCTTATAGAAAATGCTATTGAAAGCATGGAAAATTCTAATAAGAATTCTATCAACTAAATCTAAATCTTGAACCAAGCAACAATCAATTAGAATAGACATATATAATGGCCATCAAATCTCTATAAGCATTATTTGCTAACTCATCTCTATGAAACAAACCAAAAAAAGAAAACTTAAAAGGATCAATCAAATAAAAAACCTCATTGCTTCCTTACGTAAGGCAACGTCATGTTTTCTTGATTGATTAAACCCTTTAATTCAAAAGGAAAACAGATTAGAGAAAATTCAATAGGTTCAGTTAAATTAGCATCAAATCTAGCTAACCAATCTGCACAAAATTTTGCTTCTCTATGAATATGAGAAATTTTAAAATTTGTGGATTCAAGATGGAACTTTGTTTCCCTCAAGAAGTAAACAATATCAGAATTTAAGGTATTATTACCCTTAATAAGCTCAAGCAAAAGCATAGCATCCACCTTAATTTAAATATTTAAAAAAAAATTTAGTTTTTTACAAATGTCTAAAGCGTAACAGAGAGCAAATAACTCAACAAAAATCCTTGAAAATTGCTTCAGAGGACTTGCAAAAGCCAAAAAATAATCTTTCCTTTATAATCTCTCAAAGTGCCACCGCAACAATACTTATTCCCTTAGATTGAACCTTCAGAATTAATTTAATAAATTCCTTTTAAAATTTTATGCAATATATCAAGTTACAAGAATAATCTTTCTGTCAAGAATCAAGAGAAATTCTAAAAGAAATAACAACATATTTCACACCATAAAACTTTTATAAGAGATGATGCTAGCAGTAAAAAGGATTTTTATGCTATTGCTCACTCTTACGCTATATGAGTACATTTTAGACCCATTATGTTTAGAGTCATTTCTATCAAGCCAAAGATACCAGATAATAAGAACATAAATCATGGTTTAAAATTGCGCAATATGAGGCTCGCCTTGAGGCCCGCCTTAGCGCAATTCCAGTAAAAAACGCCTCGATGCTTACGCCTCGAGTTTTTTTTATGAGGCTTGCGCCTCAACTTGGTTGAGGCCTGTCTTGAGGCCCGCCTCGCCTCACTGGCATGAGGCTTACGCCTCATGCTATATATATTAAAACTTACATAAATATTGAAGTAAATGCCCGAAATTGGACTCTATAGGAGAGAAGAAAAGGGAGAGAGCAGTTCACCATAATGATGATTCAAATGAAGAACCCCTTAGTGATAACAGTGCTGATGACTTATGAGTTCTTATGTGACATGTCATTACTATTTATTTTTGGAAATTAGAATTATATATTAATGAAAATAATATTGGGATTTGGGAAAGATAGAATTTTGAGTTGAACTATATTTCATGTTATTTTATTATTGAGATATTTTGATTTCACTTCATATCTTATGCTTTTTTATGTTTTATATTATTCACTTATTAGTATATAAAAAATTTATCATTTTATGTTTACGCAATCTTTTGATTTTGAGGCTTACGCCTCAAAACGCCTTGAGGCTTACGCCTCGCCTCACGAATGAAAAACGCCTAAATACCCGAATACGCAATTTTAAACATTGACATAAATGATAGTCTGAGTATGACCTTTAGCTTTAACAATACCATTGATAAACCATAACTGAACCAGATTAAAACAGGAAATTTTACTATGAAAATGAAAATTATTAAAAGGCTCATCATTCAACAACTAAACTTTTGAAGTTTCTTCATCATTGATTAAGACATGAGAAATATTTTTCTCCTGAAAGCAACATTGACATTTAGAGTGTAGATATATACAAGCCAAGAAATTAATGAGCTGACTTGTTGGTTGCTGGTTATATGTTCCAGAAACTTCAGTTTGTCTTAGAAGGCATTAATAACGACAAGTTCTGCACAAGCGATCTTTCTTTTCCCAGATTCTGATGCAACATTGTTGAATATCTTTTGTGACTATTAGTGAACTGAAATTTATAACCAATTTATTGAACGCTGCATGATTTGTATGTTTTGTTGTATGGTACTTTATTAATTCATTTTCTTTTGATAAATGTTAAAAATGATTAATTTTCTTTAACTACTAGGCTGAATTTACCGAATAATCCAGAACTGATTCTACAAAATAAGTCGTCAGAAGTAGCCCCTTCCAAATTATCATGTACAATTTTTAGCATATAATCTTATCTATCCCTTTGTACAGTTCATTTTTCTGTCTGCAGTTTCCTTCTTATACTTAACTACAATTTTTAAAGTCAATCCTTTATTTTATCTTCTTCCACTATCAACTCTTATAAATCAACCGTACATTATCATACCATGGCATGAGGTTTAATTGTTATGTCTTTTAGGAGTTGAAATGCACTGTTATCATTTGAGAATTCTTTTTGCTTGAATCATATTTTTTCGAAGCTATGTTAGAAATGAACATTGGGCTTGTGTAATATGCAGATAGAGGAGATGCACCGAGAACTTTGTTGCATGATTATGCGATTCATACCTCCAACAACTAGTCAATTACCCGGATCTGTGTTTAGAACATTTCTACAAAACTTGATATTGAAAGTCAGGGGATCAGAAAATAAGATGTCTCCTTCTGATGCTTCGAGTAATTCTACGCTTGTTTCTTTGTACACGGTGATCCTTTATTTCTTATCTGAAGGTTTTTCCATGGATGGCATATATGACTTGATGGGCTCCACTGCAAATGCTGAAGTTGGGGGAGGTTTTTTGCATAGGGGGGGAAAGAGAAATTTCCCAGTGGGGTTGTTTCTAAATGCTGATACACATCGAGGTTGGATCTCTAGGGTTGGAGGCTCAACTAACCATTTGTTAAAGTCCCATCCCTTTGATGATGAGGAAAAAGTTATTTGGTGGGATGAAGGGTGTATGGATGACGATGATACAAGAATAACACATTCTACTAGGCAAAAGCCTTGTTGTTGTTCATCATCTGAAGTTGATATATTTAGAGGAACAAAAGATAATGCTAAATGTTTAGGTAGAAGTTCAAAGGGTCCCTGTACTTCTATTTCAGAGGGGTCTGTTACTGCAGAATGTGCTGCAGGCAGCTTGAATGATGCTATTGTGGACAAACCTAGTTCAAGTGGCCGACCAGAGTCAGATTTTGGGTACCAAACCTTACAGCATATTGGGAATGAATTGGTGGTCAATGCTTCATCTTTAGATGTTCTACGAGAGGAGGAGTTGCTTGATATCATGCTATTTTTATATCATTTGGGTGTTGCTCCTAAATTTAGGCAGGCAAGTCTATCAATCATTAATTTATGTAATTGTTTTATATAGGTACTTTTTAATTCATATTAACGAAGACTTTTATTAACTTTTGCCTTAAATTAGACAAACCTATTTGTAATGCTTTAATATGAATCTTTAAATGTTATTGGTTCACTGAGTACCTATATTTTTTTCCATTTCATGCATTGAAGTCTCATAACTAAATTTGATTAGATATTAAAAATTTTAATTCAATTTTTACTTTTAACAAGCTAATGATACTAAAATTTTAAAGACTTGTTTTGTTTAAGAAGCTGCTAGCACTGAATAATAGATTTTGTGTTTATACAAAAAACATTTTAACAAGTCATTAGCTCTTTCACAGTGGTTTCACAACCTCTAGAAAAAGCAATCCATAGCGCTTTTAGTTGTAGCTCTTTTAACTGTTGCAACTAGCAACTATTTTAACTGTTGCTATTTAATAGAATTGTTGCGGTTAAAACCATTATAATTCTATAGGTAACAAATTGTGGCGGTTTTATTTGTTGCTATAATTAATTTTTTTTTCTTGAGCCATGTTTGGTGGATTTTTTTCTTTTAGTGATGAACTTAACAGATTTTAGACTAATGGTATGATGGTTCAGGCTCCAGGACAACCCATCTACCTCTAGAAAGGTCCCCATGACTATCTTGAAGATCTAGACTTTAAAAAGTTTATGCTGGTTATGGATTTTCAAGGATGCTGAAAGTTACTTAGCGTTGGTCATCCTTCCCTAGTGGAGTACAACCAAGTATGAAATCTTAAACGATAGTTTGTCCTAAACTTTTATCACAAAATATAAACCCAATAAGGTGGAAGCTCATCATAATGGAACATTAAGTTATTTATGGATTCACATATACTAAATGCCTTTACAATCAGTCGATGCATCCACTATATGCATTGAGCCCGTGGAAAATCACTCAAAACTTGGCTTTGAACCCAAACATGAATTCATTATCTAATGATTGCACTTAGCTGCAATTAGTGATTTAACTTGGATGCTTAGGAAAGAAGTGAAAGGAATGATAAAAAGATCAAGGCTTACTAATGGAAGAGAGTATAATGAGATCTATAAAACTTTTAAAAAAAATCTATTAGTTCATAATATGCTGTGATAGTAATAACTGACATAGACCATGGAGCACATACTCCAAATAAACTTGTTTGGAACTCATTAAGGGGGCTTGTCAATTTTTCAATGCAAACTGCCAAACAAGTATAGTTTTTTATATTTTTAAATATCATCCATCAAGTGCGAGCATATCTCTCAAATAAATTTATCTTTAAAATGCAGATGACATAAGATTCTAGAAAGGTTTTCATTTTGTAACATATGCATGTGATTTGCCATTTGAAAAAGATCAGTAGGACTAGTAAGGAAAGTTCTAATATTGACAAATATGATTGCTTTATCCACCGATTAATTAGCTCCATATAAGACATTGATCATTGCACCCTATAATGAATTCACCAGAACAAATAAGGCAACAATGAGGATTAGAATCCATAAAACTTGAATAATCTACCACCTGAAGATTTCATAAACAATCAACTTTATGTAATTATGATCAAAAAGTTAAATGTGGTTGCACACAACCCAAACTTCTATGCAACCATTGACTTGGTCGGTATGTCTGCTAAATTCTCAAAATTATTAATATTTTCTATGTTTTTCATCTTCTATAAATTTATGAATAGAACAATATTTCAACAGAATATACTTCATAATTTTATGAAAAATAGAATAATTTTGTAAGAATTACAATTTAACTGCCATAGATATAAGTTTTTGATAGCATAGGTCGTGAGTTATGAAATATAATATATTTGAGGGAGAAATTCTTTTAATTTTATTTTGCTAGGACTTGTTTGTTGGGCAGGGTTGGGTGGGATATTTTTTTGCATAATTTGATCCTTGTATCTTGGTTAGTGAAATCACATCTTTGCTAACAATAAGATGGGTATTGAAAGGATGGTAGTTGTTTGATATTGTTTACTTTAGGAAAACTTTGAGCAAGTTTTAGGCAAACAATGCAACTATAGTAGGGATTGATTCTGTTGACTAAGTGGAAATACAAAACAGATATTTGGTTGAGCTAAGAGAGTTTTGGTATGGAATGAATAATAGTTCAGGATGCACATGAAGGTTATCCATTAAATTTATTGGAAATAATTTGTAATCGCCTCTGAATTTTGACATGAGAATGGAGGATTTGTACTATGCGTATTGGATCAGGAAAGGCAATAGGAGGCCAAAATCAAAAATGAAAATCAATAATATGTGACGCCTAAAAACCAAAAGGAATTCACTTGCTGGCCCCATTATTTATTTAAAATTTTGAATGAGACCTCTCTTTTTTTTTTTTGGCTACTTCTTTTTCTTACTCTTTTTGCTTTGTTCGTCACTTTTGTGGGCCATCTTATCATATGAGAACTAAGAAATACCCTTCTTAAAATTGCAACGAGGTGCTATATATTCATTTAGGTTCTGGCACTATCTCGTAGATACAAACTCTACAAATTTAGTGGCAAGTCTGCATGCATCATTTCCTCGATATAGTGGGAGTTCCATGCATGCCTTCCTCCCAAGTATATTCTATTTTATTCCTCCTCACATTTTGTGCCACTTCCATCCCTTTTACCGGTGACAACAAAGCTATATTGTCCATGACAGCTTGAACTTCAATGGAAATACAGTACCATGGTGTTGATCTATAATTTCTAGATTAAAGTTTTTGGTGCTTGTCTTTGCCAATTCTAATTATTATTGAACAAATTTATGGGGATAACAACTATTTTTTTTAAATTGATTTTGAGAATCATTATTTCCCTTTTTTATAATTTTTTCCATTAGTTGTTTTTTGTGATTTTTGGTTCACAATCTTGCTAGCTTTTCTCCATCCCAAAACCTGAAATGAAATCTTTTGTTGCAGGCCTTCTACTACATGTCTCATCAGTCACATTCAATGGCTCTTTTAGATGACACGGACAAACAAATTAGAGAAAAATCTTGCATCGAACATTTGAAGAGATTAAAAGAAGCTCGAAAAAGTTATCATGAAGAGCTAATTGATTGTGTTAGACAATGTACATGGTAACGCTTTTGTCTCTATCGAAATTATTCCTACAACTTGCACTTTGTTCCTTCAACTGATTTTGTATTTCTATTTGGTCTGATTAAAAAAATAGTTCTTTTGTCTAGCCTCTGCCTGTTTATGGGTTTCAGAAATATGAGAAAATGGTCAAATTGATCTCTAGAAGTTTAGGTGTGTTTATTTTAATTGTAAACTTTCCCAGTGATCAATTTGATCCCTTAATTCATACTAATTTGGTCATTTTGTCAGCTCTACTATTTGCTTTTGATGAAAATAATTGGGGAAGCTATTCATGAGGGCATTTTAGACTTTTTATGGGCAATAACATTTGTTTGAGCTTGAAATATATATATATATATATATATATATATATATTCAAGTTTCTTCAAATGGCTTTAAAAGTTGGGCAAAAATATTGCTTTATCACAATTAAGAAGGGCTTGCATTTTGATCAACTCACATGCATTATTATCATAATCTAATGCGCTATTACTTTATCTTATTTAAAATAGGTTTATCCTAAAATTGTCAAAAAAATATTGTTACGCAACGCCATAAAAGAGAATTCGTATGCAGTATTGGTTTTAATACATCTTCACATGGCATGACTGTTCTTACTCATCAGCTTGTTTTTCCATTTCGCTTTTTTTAGGTATCGGATTTCTCTTTTTTCTCGGTGGAAGCAAAGGGGAATGTATGCGACATGCATGTGGGTAGTGGAAATGCTTTTGGTTCTCAGCAATACTGGATCCATCTTCCTTTATATTCCGGAATTTTATCTGGAATCACTGGTACAAAACATTTCACGTGCTTCCTTTTTATTTGTTTCACCTTTTATTTAGTTACTGTTTTGTACCGTACTCTATGTCCTCCTTTCTAATTGGAGGGAGAATTTTAGCTGATGCTTTTTTTTGTGCCTAGTGGTAAACCCTGAAAGAAGAATGGACTCTTGAATAGATTATATATTTTATGCAATCTTAAACTCAATAAAAATTTAAACCGTCTCTTTTTTTTTTTTTTTTTGGAAAACACTTTTTTCTTATCATTGACATCCTCTTTTTATCCAAAAGGGTCTCACATTATTCATGTTTTTGTGCTTGGTTAACATTGATCCTTTTTTGTTCTGATAAAGACCCTGAAAAACATTTGCAGGTTGACTGTTTTCATGCACTGAGAAAGAGTGATCCTCCATATGTTTCTTCTGCAATTTTTATCAAGCAAGGGCTTGCTTCTTTTGTAAGTTTTAATTTGATTTTTTTTTCATGATTGTCCCTTTAATCTTCCTAACATTATGTAAAATCTCAATGTGGATTGATATTATTTCATGCAATTTCATTTTGGTTGGTGGACTACGAGTACAAGTGTACAACCCTGTACATAGATTATTGTTGGTATCTTAAATAGTTGAATTTGATTAGTAAAACTTGCATTTTAATGTCCTATGGCTATATATATGGTACCAGGCTTCTATTATTTAAATTTCAGGTTTCTTCCTTTATTTTGTTTATTATTTAAAATACAAAATTGTGATTCTGATTGGAGTTTGTTCTGCTTTGTTTATTTTCTTTCCTTCGTTCTTAAAAGTCGCTCTGAAAGGTAGGCTGTTTGATTGTGACCTTCTGTTTCATGCACGTCACTTATTTATTCCTATGGTGCCATAGTACTTACATCTCATGATTCAAATGCCCATCTTCAGTGGAAATTGTTTTAAATGCGGGGTTTTGTCATCCAAAAGGGTTCTGATTTTCCTGGCATTCTGTGCTAAGTGATACTTCAAATAACTTTAAATGATTTTCTTCATTTTAGAATCATATTGTATTCTTGTATCATAAATGTTAAAGTGCTAGCTTTATGTTTTTGAGCTACAGTATTGACTGCATATTGTATCCTCCATTTCTAGGTTACTTTTGTTGTCAAACACTTCAATGATCCACGCATATTGAGTGCCGATGTAAAAGATCTTCTCCTCCAATCCATATCGGTGTTAGTGCAGTGCAATGACTTCATGCTTGCCTTTGAGTCTAACAAAGAAGCCGTGACGAGCATGCCAAGGGCGTTGCTTCTGGCTTTTGATAGCAGATCTTGGATTCCTGTAACCAATATACTTCTTCGGTTGTGTAAGGGTTCTGGATTTGGTTCCTCAAAGCATGCAGAGTCATCTTCAGTTCTTTTCCAGGTTATTAGGAGTTGATTGTATACTTTCTTGTCTTGTCTTTAGTTGTCTTATTTTTTGATTTGTTTGATTTCATTGTTTTATGAAGGTATTACTCCGAGCAGTCGGCGTCAATGATGAAGGATTATTCTTTCAATTTCTTAATCGACTTTTCAACACTCTTAGCTGGACTATGACTGAATTTTCCGTTTCAATTCGAGAGATGCAAGAAAGCTATCAGGTGCATTATTTCTGTCCTTATCTTCTAAAGCATCCTCTGGCTAACAGTTTAGTGGCTTGAGAGCTATAGGCTTGCCAGCTGCTATTAGCATCTGCTATGCATTCCAATATGAAGAGTGGTGATTTGGCCATTTGGTCTCACCTTTAGGTTTAAGTTTTTTTTTTTTGTCTCAAATAACAACTCGCGCTCAGGGCGCCCCACTAACCTTAATTACAGTGTACAAATTGACTGATTTTCTTACAGGATGGTCCTCAAAAACATGACAATGACACAAATATGTCAATCAATTAGGGTTTGATATATATGTACATGAATCCTTCATGTATTTGTAAATTGAGCCTCCGCATGCACTTGCTCAAATGTTCCAATAAATAAAAGGGTTAGAATTGATGATACATTGATGATGGATCCCTTAGACTGCTTCTCTTTTGGTGTTCTGGTTGGAGAATTGCTTAAAACTAGCCTGGTTGCCAAACTGCTTAAAACGTGAAGTCGAATTAAATATGGGAGCATTTGAGATCATTTTCTGTAACAGCCTTCTCTCCAAGATGGCAAGATAGCCACTTACACATAGCAAAATCTATTTCTCAGCTGTAGTTTTTTATAGTTCTTGTAGTTCTGGATTAGTTGGATGTTATATTGGTCTGGTGTAAGTTGCATGCTATTAACTTATGAAATCAGCATTTCAATTCTTTTCAATGCCTACTTTACAATGAAATATTGGAATGTGGACACTTAGTGATGAGTTGAGAACTCAGAAGCAGCTTCACGTTCTTCTTTTACCTAGCTGAGCATATTTTTTTTGGCTAGTTTTTTTTTAAAGGTTTGCTCATGGCTACCTGGATGCCAGTTTTAATTTCACTTTGTTGTTGACTGATCCCTCAATTTTTTTCCTCTTATCTTTTTGGTGAACTTACTCTTTTGCAGATTGGAGACTTGCAGCAAAGAAAATGCGCCGTTGTTTTTGAACTCTCATGCAATCTTGCAAGAGTGTTAGAGTTCTATACTAGGGAGATTCCTCAAGCATTCATTCAAGGACCTGACATGAATCTTAGAAGGCTAACGGAGTTGATCATTTTTATCTTGAACTATATGACTTCAGTTGCTGATACTGAGTTTTTTGACAAGTATGTTCGACCTATTATACTTTCTGCAATCAATCTTGTCTTTATTCTGAATTTTGATCTCTGATTTAAACAGTTTTCGACAAGTGAATTTAAATAGCATGTTAAGTCTTCATTAATGCTAGGAAGAGAGGCCAGACAAGCTATTAATCGAGTTGGTTTGTCTGGGCCAAGACTAGGCTCGCAGTTTGAACAGCAGATTACTTTAGGTGGGTGATACAAGTAGCATAGCCTATTTACTACGGCTTGTTTGTCGATCACTTTTGTTTTTTTATTTTTCAAAAATATATTGTTTAGATGTTTTTTTAACTCTTTTATTTTTTATTTTAAAAAGTTATTTTGAATTTTTTAAAAACACATATAACAACCAGTCGCTGCCTTCACCACTATACCACTGGCAATCGCCATCACCACTGTATAAATCAACTCATTCAATGTTCAATTAAAGTATAATATGTTTTTAAGATATCAAATATGTTTTATTTTATGTCAAAACATATATAAAATAAAATGAGGGAACATCTACGACTATTACCATGTGAGATCATCATATGAAATAAGCAATCAACTGAATTAACGATTTAACTTATGTCACATTATTATGCAAAATGAGGGAAGCTTTATCTCTAAAGGAAGTCCTAATGTTAATGCGTAGGAAGATGCTTTTGTTGCAGTTATGTTGTCTGATGTGCCCCCAACAATGAACTTTTCATTGCCATTTTCATTGTGATAGAAAATAGCTTTTTGATCAATTTGATCAAAGTTTTTTTGAATGCTTATGCTAAATCATTCACCTTAAGATAATAGATCATGGGAATTGGCTTTTTATGCCCCGTAATAGTTGTAATTGGAGATATGTGCTCGTTGTTTGTTTTATTGGAAAAATATGTCTGAAAGTTTATTTTGAGTCAAAATATCTTTCCCATGCTTATATTCTGATTGTATAAAAAGAATGATTTTCTGCTCTTCCACATTGCAGCTTTCTCCTTTGCTTTCGTCATCCTTTTTGGAGATTTTTTTTTTCTTAGCAAGGCAAGATGCTATGATTGTTAAGCTCAATCAAAAATCAGTTGAATGATGACTTCCATAGACTTAGGTAATTCTTTTTAGTATATCTATCATATGACATAAATGAGGTTATTTTGGTAGAGTTCTAATGCAATTTTAGATAGAATATCAAAGAGACAACTTCAAACCTTATTTGTACAAGTATTCAAATCATGATCAAATAGAGTTTGAAACTTATTCAAATCATGGTTCTAACAAGGTTCAAACGCATGCTTTAACTACAGTGAAGTTATATGTTAACCAAGTGAAATAAGTAGCAACATTCTTGTACTTTATAAAGGATAATGGAAAGAAGATAGCAAAGTCCATTGGGCATTTATCCAAAAATAGAGAAAATATTTGATGTAAAAAGAATTTTATTTTTCTAAGATCTCATATATCTTATATACAAAGTGACATAGATTGATAATGATCAATTTAGTCTGAATTTAGAGTTGATATATCACTTTGGAGTAGTATAGTCCTTAATTTCAATTTCTCCAACTGAGTAATTAACAAATTATGATCTAACTTTTTTCTTGAATGAGATATTGATATTCTCCGATCTTTGATATTTATATTTGTTTCCCCAAAAAATATTTCAACTAAAGGTTTTTATGCAAATGAGGATGTTATAAGTCAGTCTATCATCTTTTGTTGATGTAGATGATGATGTGAACACACATGTAGAAGTAGGTGATACTATGGATATAGATTGTAAAAGATAATGGTTCTATGGACACTTCATTATTGAAGCATCCATTAGAGACTATAGCCTTAGTTTATGATATACCTAAAACTAGCAAACATATGAGATCTTTTGATTCTTCATGCACCTTGGGGCTAAAAGTAACATTTCAGTATATGGAGAATACATGAATAACTCTTATCCACAAGATACAATGCCCAGAAATATTTCCAATTTAATGATTATTGATATAATGACCTCATGCCCGTATGTATCTTCAACTCATTCGGAAGTTAGGTGAGTTTTTTAGAGTAGAGAAGAGTTAAAATGGATGTTACATTTATATGCCAATGAAAAAGAACTTTTAGTTCATGGTAAAGAACTTAACTAAAGAGAAATTCTTATGAAGTTTGTGATCCACGAAGTTGGCAAACTCAGATTTGTTTGAGATTGGGAGCTATGAATCAGAACTTACTTAAAACTTTGGATGCTAGATCAAAAGGCCATCAATAAGCTCAACCATGTTGTACTATACATATAATAAAAGAGAAGTTTGTTGGATCTTTATCCTACTTGAAGCCAAAGACAATCATAGAAAATGTGAAGAGGGACCATGACATAATTTTTTCTATGAAAAGGTTGGAAGTGTCGTAGCAAGCTATCATTTATGTAAGAGGGCCACTTGAAGCATCTTATAAAAAAAATCATCTTATTTAGTTATGTGTTAAAATCCCAACCATCCCTTTGGCCCTTGATCCCATGACCAAGGATGGAGATCCGTGGGAGGCTCACTTGGATTATGCCAATCTCCTTCCATATTCGGGTGGCTGATTTGGGAAGGATTATATTAGCGCAATTGTGAATAATTTTGTATTTATTTGTTTCTTTATTAAGCTATCTTGCATATATCTATAAATAGGGATAAATTTGTGTAATAAAAAAGGAATCCTTTTTCCCTCTCCAATTCTGTGAATTCTAACATTATGCTACACAAAAAAGGGGGGCAATTATTAATTCTCAACTTGAGACTATAGAATTTTTCAAGTATGTTTACTTCTCTTCAAATGTTTGTGCGCAAGGCTCTTGCGTGTTGCCTAATCGTCGGTCGGTGTGGATGAAATATTTTTAAAAATATGATGCTGAGTATTTTGCTAATCGTAGTGGCGCAAAAATTCATGTCATAATTGTTCAACAAGTTTTATGATAGTTGTTGACTACCTTACACAACCATTTTCTTTTCTCATATAGGGCTTGAGACTTAGCAATGACAATGTAAAAATGGTCTACCTTTTAATGACCTTTGTTAGGAGAGTAGATGTATTAGATTTGGCTTATGTTAAGAAATATAGAGATAGACCTATAAAGACTTGGTAAGAAAGTATTAAAAATAGTTTTTTATTAGATTTAAATGAGAATTTAATTCTTAATAGGACACAAAGGAGAAACATATTTTTATGTAGCCGACCCCACGGTGGGATAAATCATTGTTGTTGTTATCATAATGGTGCAAGATTTAAAAAAAAAAATGGTGCAAGATGCCAATACATGATTTATCTAGTGGCATTTGTAATAGCTAACTCAAAAAATAATGAGTCATGGATATATTTCATGATTAGAATAAGGGTGTCAATGCACAGTGGAGAACTTAGTATTTGTCTTTGATAGATGTAATAGTATCATCAATGCTTTATTCTCTTAATTTTTCATAGGCACGTCATGGATCTTGCACTTATCATATTATAATGAATATCAAAACAAAGTTTAAAACTGGTATTTGTTATGATAAATATTTGTTGGCTTCCTAGGTTTACATGATAGTTGTGTTTACCAGGCACTTTGACAAAATAATTGTCAAGAACTAAACCGGAACGGCCTACCTAGAGAATGAAGCTGGTTTTGATCGGTGGGCTCATGTTTCTTCTTTGGAAACCAATACAGCTTGATGACAATCTAAATTTTAGAGAGTTTCAGTAATGTTATCATAATTGCTTGCTCTTATATAGTGATTACTTTGTTGGGATTCAGAATAGTTCTTCGATAGGTGTATCATTGCAATAAATACAAAAAAAATTTGGTGAAGAAAAATGATGTAGTGTGGAAGATTTATAGGAAACACTTGTCTAAATTATAATAAATTTGGCTGAATTTGAATTAATCAAAGCGTGAAATCAGAAATAAGAAGAATGTAGGGGAAACACAAGCGAGAAATGATTATATTGATGTAGATGGAAGTAAACGCACAAGATACAATGGATCCTTAATTAAAGAGAAGGATCCGACTCTCTCAATCTCTAGCTGGTGGGTAGAGCCCAAACTTAAACCTATGAACACTCCAAATTTCAGCAAAAATGCCATTCTACACCCCTAGGAAAAGAAATTACTTAAAGAATACAATAGAAATCACCCCCCCCCCCCCCCCACCCACCAATTTGAATTTTCCTTCCTAATCTCCCTTAATTGATTGTTGGGCCCGACATGCAGAGAAGGGGCGGGCTGATGTTCAGCTCCTGTCTCGAAGAAGCGGAACTGTTCCGCCTGGTCCAGGTTGGCCAGATGGACCAATCTAACAAAGCTCTTGAATTAAGCCATTTAAACAACATGCCTTTGACGATGATCTTAACGGTGATATTGATTTGCTTGAGGGGACATACATCCAAAAAATTTGTTGTTATAGGTTTCCCGTGCGAACATGCATTGACATTGATTTGCAGCATTGCTCTTTTAAAAATGTTGGATGTTTAATCATTCTAATTCTCGATCGTATGAAAGTTGCTTCAATGCTCTAGGTTGATTTTCCATTAAGCTCTCACCAAATGGAAACCAGTACACTTGGCAAAGTTGATCTCTGTCTCTTTGTTTACCTTCTAGAGAGGATGAAGGATGATTTGTGTGAAAGAGAAGAAAGAGAATAATGGTGACCAAATCATCATAGATGCCAAAATAACAATGATGATGTTTCTAACAAAACAAAGCTCCATGACTAGAAAGTTTAGGTTGGATATCATGAGAGAACATATGGAAATAGGATTGAAAAGAAAAAGAGAGATTTGTTGTTAAGAAATGATTTTTAGAAAACGAAAGATATTGAAGGAAAAAAAGATGATGGTTAAGGGGAGGGGTGGACAAAAAGAACCAACCTAGTCTTCGACAAGAAGCAGTAAATGTAGAATAGCCAAAGGCAACATCTCCAATGGATCTCCTTTGTCATTCCAACTAGTGCACCTCCATCAAAATACATCTTAAACGGTTAAAGGGTTTTCCCTCATCT